ACCTTGATTTAGAAATAGTGGGCAGGAGCTGCCTGGTCCACTCCCAAGGGACATCTTTGCATGGGTTTGGATGACAAGGCCCCACCCTACGTGGCAGGGAACAAGAGTGGGCGGAGTGATTTTCCAGCTGTGTCCCCACCTTTGTCCTAGTCTTGCTGCCTTCTGCGCAGTGTGTCTGATCTGCCCTCCTCTTTCTCACAGCTGTCCTCCCACAGTCGACGACCACACCAGGTGAGTTCTGCTGTTCCCCAAGAGTCGGGTGTCTCCTCCTTCCCTGCTCCTCTCCCCATCCCCAGGTCAGCAGCTGCATGAGGTCACTGTGCACTTTTCCTGCTGCCCAGAACATTCTGTGATGTTTTAGCATGTGTGGTGGGTGCAGCTGAGCTCACGGCATGTAGATGATCCTTTGTGTGTTGGGGGGACGTGAGCCTTCTGGCTCCTGACGCGGGTGCCGCACGGCACTCACTCGGCAGTTGTGTTGGGAGAAGGGGTTTCTGTCCGGAGACACAGGTGCTGGAAAGCATCCTGTGTCCCCAGTGTCACATGCCAGGGCAGAACAGAGATTTTTCTTGTCCTGCACCCCAGGCAAAGAGTGAGTGATGCTTCTACCGACAAACCGTGTGTCAGGAGAGAAGTGTCATTGTCCTTTGGGCAATGTGTCCCCTGTTTCCCTTGTCATGGACATTCAAGGCCATGGCCTTGCTCACTGCAGGCTCCCTACAAGAGTCCTCTTTCTTCCTCAGCCCTAGAGCGTCTCTGTGTGCACTGTCCCTGCTCACAGTGCTGGGTCACTAGTCCCCACCGGGGTTCCATACCCATTCCTGTCTAATCCTGCTGTGTCTTTCTCTGCAGCTTGGTGGCCCACAACGTCTCCTTCCCATGGTAAGTTTCTTTGCATCCCGCCAAAGCATCAGCACGTAGCACTGCGGTCTGCAGGCCTCGGGGACATTCCTGTGTCTTGCGTGAATCCTCTGGCTGCTCACCCGCTCCCTCAGCGAGGAGGGTTCCCTTTCCCCCCGGTTGTGATTTGTACTGTAAGGGGCATCAGTTAGTCAGGATGCTGTTGTTTGCAAGGGACAGGAACCCAAGTCAAACTCTCTTAGGTTAGAACAGAATTCATTGGCTGATTTATCTCGAATGTTTAGTGATGGATCTGGAGCTGCAGGCACAGCTGTATCCAGCAGTTCTGAGTCTACTCTCCCCCATCTTCTCTTATCCCTGCCCTGTGATCCGTGTGGGCTTCCGTGTCAGCTTGCTTTCTACACACGGGGAGAAGGTCAGCAGTTGCCATCCCCAAGCCTATATCCCTGAAGGAGTAAGAGTCAGTGTGTGCCATGACCTCTGGGGGACAAGGCTGCCTGCTTGGCAACGAGCGCTTTCTCCCGCCCCACGTCTGTGTGCTCTGAGGGCTCAGTTAGTTATATGCCATCTGCACACCCCCTGGGGAGAGGGGGACAGTGTGGGCACCAGGCCCTGCTTGAACCTTGTGGGATGCTCGTTTTCTCACGGGAAGGACGATTTCCGTTACAGTTAAAAGCAGGGCAGGAGATTTGACACAGAGACCGTATCCTTCAGTGAGAGCTTTGCTTTCTTGCCATCTTCCCTGCTGCTTGCTGGGTGTCCGTACCTGTCTCCCCGCCAGAGGGAACTGTCCCTCTCCCTGGGTGTCGGCCCCTGTGGGTTCTCTGCTCTGGTGCAGGCCCTGGGTCAGGGTCTGAGCTGTCAGTGGAGATTCCGTGGAGGCCTCAGAGGGCCTTTATGTGCTTGTGAGCCACTTGTCCGTCTTCCTCAGGGACGGCACGTGTCACAGGTCTTCCTCCTGTGGCCCTGCCCTCATCCAGGATCTTGGACTCAGGGAGTCAGGACAGGGGAGCGCACGCAGTCTCTGAGCTTTTCCCGCGTCTGGGAGATCATTGCAAGACTTGGACTTTGCTACTACTTAGACCAGACCCACATCAGGAAAACCACAGCCTCTGGGAAGAAATGCCCGAGGTAGTAGCTAAACGACCCTCAGCCATCCCTTTGCCTGGTGGTCCAGGGCTGGTAATGAGCACGTGTTGGCAGCCAGGGAAGCCGGGGGAGGCAGGGAGAGAATTTTCTGTGTCAGAGAACAGGTGCCCCAGGAGGGGATTACATGGGCTGATATGATTTGCTTGTCCAGGGCCCGTTTTCTTTTTTTACTCCTCAAAGAGATTTTCATTTCTTATTGATCTGAAATTACAAATCATTTGCATGTATTTGCCTCTGTGTGTGTGTGTTTGTGTTTGTGTCCATTTAGTAGAGTGAAGATTAATAATATTTCCCTTTATTATTGTGGTGAAATATATGCCTAACATAAAATTTATCCTTTCATCAATTTTAGTGTGTAATCTCGGTGGATTAGTTACATTCACAGTGTCGTGCAGCCGTCCTGGCCATCTAATTCCTGTTTTTAAATCATCCCAAACTGAACAACCACACCCGTCACCCATCACACCCCATTCTACTTTCCCCAGTTCCCGAAAGCCCCTAATCTGCTTTCTGTCCACATGGATTTCGCTGTTCTGGACATCTCCTATGAAATGGGACCATGGCCTCTGTGTCTGGCTTCCTTCCCTTAGC